GCCAGTACCCATACACAACCTAGAGGTTTCTCAATGGAAGAATGGATAAAGAAACTGGCATTGTTGCACAATGGAGTATTACTCAGCTGTAAAAAAAATGACAACATGAAATTTGCAGACAATGGCTGTAACCATAAAATTCATCCTGAATGAGGTAATCCAAACCCTGAAAGACAACTATGATATATATTCAATTATAAGTGGATATTAACTATAAAGTAAGAGATAAAAATACTATCTATAATCCATAGACCCAGAGAAGCTAGGTAAAAAGGAAGGCTCAAGGGAGAATGCTTGCATCTCCTGGGAAGAGGAAGTAGAAGAGATTTTGTGAGTAGATTGTGAGCAGATAGGGATGGGAACATGAGGAATCAGGTGGGAGCATGTAGGAGGAGATACCAGAAAGAGACAACCAGAATTGGGCATTTTAGGGTTAGGTTGAAAACTGATGGAAAGGAAACTCACAAGAACTTACAAGGATGAGCCCAGGTAAGACAGCTAGCAATAGAGGATATCTAACCTGAAATGGCCATCTCCTGTGACCATGAAAGACTTCACATAGTTTGGAACACAAGTGCAGCCACAATCCATTAGAACTAATGCCATCTGCCTGTGTTTTTATAATAGTGGAATCAGTGATTGACTGTGACTCTTTTGCTGGCTTTTAGGACCCAGCCTTAATAAAAGGAGAGTTGATTAGTCATCATGCAAGTTAATATGCCATGTTTTGTTGACATGGGAGGCCTGAATGTTTCTGTGTTGTGGACTGGCATGTCTCAGCATCAAGCCACAGCAGCCATGAGGTTCGGCCTGAGTGGGGGACCATGGACTTGAAAGCTCCTAGCAACCCAAGGATGATAAAGACCAAACACAGGCATCTTGTCATCTTTAGAGAGCTCTCAGTTCCATTTTGTAAAACTAGAGTCTCATGTTTATTTAGCATCTTTTTGGCTGTTTCTTAACCATGCTTCCATGGCCACAAGGAGGTCATTTCTCTCCTCCTAACCCCTCTCTGCTCTATCACTCTTAATCTGTCCTCACATGTTACTTACACACCTAGCACCTCCCCTCAGGTGCAGGCCTATTCAAATGCTTAGTTCAGTAGAGATGCAAACTAGGAGACATTCCCCACTGAGGCCATGCTATTTAATAGCAAATCATCTATTCAATGTACACCAGATCTCCCAGTTACTGGAAACCCTGGAAATTTCATAATGGAATTTTCCTCACTCATGACATTTCTGAATAGAAACTGAGTAAGAGTTGGTTGGGTTTTTAAAGAGGAGGTGGTGGGAAACACTGAGAGGAGGGGAAACATATCAGAATAATAAGTAATAAATAAATTTGAAACATAGTGTTTTCCAGTGGAATGTCAATTGGCATAGCCAACAAACTCAAAGGCAGGCCCCATGCCAATGAGTAGTTTGTCACCACGAAATCAAATTCATGTTTTTGTTTTGCAGACATTATCTCATTTTGATATTATTTTTTCCTTGTTCTTTTATTTCTTTGCTTTCATATTCATGTTTGGGTTTCTTAGATTTATTTTTAATTTTGTTCTTGTTTTCACTAATATTTTGGAAAGAGAAAGTTAGATGGTTAGAGAAATTAGGGGTGTAGAAGTAGTTATATGATAAGGAAAATGATTAAATACATTTTTAAACTTTTTATCATTTAAAACAGTGATTTAAATTTACATATATATGAATAATATTCTATCCTTCCCTTAAATCCTCCCTTATACTCTCTGACACAGCTTTAAGTTCTCTCTTAAAAACTGAGCAAGAATCAATTATAAACAACAAACTCCATCAATACCTAGAGAGAAAAATTAAAAACATACCCAAAACAAACAAAAAAGCACCAAACTGTAACTAAATAAAAGCTCACAAAAATAATCTGCCATCCATTATATGTTGGTCAACTACTCCTGAACAAGAATATTTCTGTCCTGGTATAGTTGATATACCCAGCATCACTCTATTAAAGAAAACTCATTTTCCATTGTTCAGCAAGTATGTTAAATTTCAGTTGTTAACCCATACGTTTGTGGGTAGGTTTCATTTACTCCATCATTCATTCATTCATTCATTCATTCATTCCCTTTTTAAAAATACAATAAATGTTAAAACAAAAACTACCATATTGATACCAGACAATAGAAACAAAGATACTGAAAAAAGCCCAATAAAAGGCACAAGAATCAGAGACACACTTGTTCAACCACTTGGAAATCCCATAAAAACACTAAACTTGTAGCCATATTATAAATGTAGAGGATGTGGTGCTGATAAATGCAGGCCATGTGCATGTTACCTCAGTCTCTGTGAGTTCATATGAACTTTGCTCATGCTGATTTAGGGGCCCTTCTTTTCCTGTCCTCCAACCACTCTGGCTCTTAGACTCTTTCTGCATCCTCATCTATGAGGTTTCCTGAGGTCTAAAGGGAGAGATTTATGTAGGGCTGGGTGTTTCAAGGTCCCTCGCCTTCTGTGTAATGTCAGCCCGTGGATCTCTATACTTGTTTCATTGCTACATCAGGTGAAGAAGGAACTGATTTTTTAAGTATATCAGAATATCACTATATTTTTTCTTTTCTTATATGTGTATTATTTAATGTCACCCTAGGTCTCTGGGCTATTGAGTCTCAAGGTCTTGGTTATGAAAACAGTGTAGAGAATGAGATCCATATTTTGGAGTGGGCCTCAGGTGACCTCAGATATTTGTTGGTTACTCACACAGGCTTTTGACCACCATTGTCCTAACATATCTTTCAGGCAATACACATTGTATATAAAAAGTTTGTTCTATGCATGATGTTTATGTTTTTCTTTAGAGAGCTTGCTGTGTAGTTCCTTCATCAAAGAAACTGGAACATAGGAGACAAATCGATATGGGAACTCACTTGACATCTCCATTTTCAATGAGGCTGTCAGTATGTGGAGAGCAAACTATACATAAAGTCAGACACAGCATGAGTTTATCTGGACTCCCCATCAATCACCTTTGGCCAACAACTGAATTAAACATAATTCACTCCAGGTACTGAAAGCTTCATTTGATTAAAAGAGATAGGCATTTGTTACTCTGTATATACCAATATTGGCAATTTCCTTTAGAGCATCTTTACTAACATATGAATTTAAAGAAGTTCTAACTGTATTGATTTTATACTACATCTTGAATAGCCCTTGATTTTACATATTTCACCACATAATCTTCCAAACAGCAACCTATTGTGGGAAATTACCAATACGGAGTCAGGTAGAAATATAAGGGTATTTAATAGGGAAAAGCCTTACTTACAGAGCAACCTAGCCAGCTGGCGTGGTAGAGGTCTGTACAGCAAGAAGCAAAGAGAAACCGAAACCGCAAAATGCAGTCACACTACGTCACTCTTACCATGCCCTCACAAGCCTGGTCAGGCACACCTGTAGCCAGCCCCTAAGAAGGCGTAGCTACAGCTTCCCCTACAGCAACCTCTCCCCTTTCTGTCCTCAACTGATCCTCCTACTCTAGCCCTCCAACCCTTTCCATTCATAACCATGTATTCTACATCCCTTTCCTAAGGATATCTACCTGTTCCTTCCAATCCCTTATTCTATCCATACTATCTGTGGTTCTATCAGTTGTAGCTTGGTTATCAATGACAACTCAGCCAATATCCACTTATAAGCAAATACATGCCCAATTTATCTTTCTAGTTTACCTCACTCAGGATGATTTTTTTTCTCATTCCATCCACTCTCCTGCAAATTTCATAATATTGTTATTTTAACAGCTGGGTAATACACCATTGCTTAAGGGTACCATACATTCTTTATAATTTTTCTCTTGAAGGGAAACAGTATTGTTTTTAATTTCTGACTCTTATGAACTAAGAAACAATGAAAATAATTTAGCCTTTGACTCAGAAGTAGGATAAAACATTCTTTGTACATATCCCTAAGAGTGGGTTAGCTGGATCTTGAGATAGATTGATTGCCATCTTATTTGACATACTGCCATGCTAACTTTCATAGTGATTGTATGAGTTTGTACTCATACAAGCAATGTATGAGTGTTCTTGCTTCACATCCATCTTTGCCAGCTGTGCTTTCACTTGTGGTATGGATCTTGGTCATTCTGACAGGTATAAGTTGAAATCTCAGTATAGTTTTGATTTGCATTTTAATGGTTGCTAACAGTTTTGAACATTTCTTTCTTTCTTAGACATTTGATTTTTCTCTATACAGAATTTTCTGTTTATGTCTGTACTCCATTTTTGATTCCTTGTTTTAATGATATGTATTTTCTTGATATCTTTAGAAATTTTGTATATTATTCTTCTATCTGATGTGTACTTGATGTAAATATTTTTATTCTATATATTGCTGCATTGCCTGAATGACTGTGTCCTTTGACATGCAGAACTTCTCAAAGAGACTCACAAAACAGCATTCATGTAGGCATAGATCATATTCATATCACAGATAGTAAAGATACTATCCTGAACATTACTGGTCATATTTTTGTATGTTTGTAATAAATTCATTCTGGAAGGAACTCATTTTGACACTTCTATCTCAAAACTCTGCAATTTCTGATGTAGTTCCAAGTCAGTTAGTACATATGGTAATCAAAGAATTGGTTTGGTGAGCTAGATTTATTAGGAAATTTTCCCTAGAGGAATAAAGTCTGGGAATTTTATGTCCAATGACATGGATCTAGTCATAATGGATATGGGGGAAAGATAATCATGAATAAAATTATTACCCCTTAATTGTTACTTAGACACAGGACCTCATATGCAGAGCCCCAGGCTAGCATGTACTTAAGAATCCTCCAGAGGTAAAGAGCCAGCTGAAAAGATAAGTACTGAAAGAAATACATGAATTCTTTAGCAGTAAATACAATAATAAAAAGAGACTCAGGATGTGTTCATGCATAATTGATACATGGCTTCCTCTGTGACCCTTCATGCTGTACTTTGCTCAGCCTCTCATCTTAGTTACCTGACAAAGATGTTATCTTTTCTGTTTGTCTTCTTGGTCCTGAACCTTTCCTTCTTTTTCTGCAGTTTGACTGATCCTGTGTGCTTTTGGAGAATAAAAGACAAGAACAACATGGAAGGAGATAAAGAGGTTGATTGTTTCTTTTCCATTTATACAGAGCACAGATACATGAAAAATGATTACTTCAGTGGGAATCTAGATAAGCAGTAAGTGCCAACTTTCATTTGGTTTTTGTTTCTTTGTTTATTATGGTAGATGATGTATTCTATGGCTGCTGAGAGGCAGACAATTGTTCTGTATATGTTCTGTCCATAATTCCTTCACTCATTTATGTTATAACCCAAATTTATCCTATTTTACTGCAAATTTATTTCCCTGTTTCTGATTATTTAGGGTTAGCTTGTCCTTTGTCTTTTTCAAGTCACAAATTCCAGACTGGAAACTTAATGAATGGCCCACACTTTCTAGAGACAATCATTTTATATTACAATTCCCAACTGATGCTGTGGGATATCCTTCAAAATACCAAATCATTTACTGTTTGATTAATCCAACCAGTTATTTCTGCCACTATTTCACTAGCATGTCTGCAGCGGGTCAGCATTGTAGATAATTAGGCTTGTATTTACCTTGCTCTTTTTTCACAGTAGTTTGATTACTATAAACAGTAGTTAGTAGGCATGAACACTCTAGGTAGGTACAAGATTAGTTCCTTCGTCTTCAATCAGCTATGTATGTGTCATCTTCAGCCATAGGGATTACTTATAAATTTATAGAGAGGACTCTATAGCCTTTGTAACAGCCTGGGTTTTTTGGAGGGTCCTTACAGGACTCCTTTGGCTGACTATTCAAAGAAATATAACCTATTAATGGTATTGGAAGCTTCCTTTGTTTACAAGACATATCTGTATGGTTGGGGATTGGTCTCAACTGTTATTTGCCAATTTCATTTAGATTGCCTTAATACATGCATATATTTTAGAAGGCTAAATCTATTTCAGATTTCCATACAATTAGTATGGGTAAGAAAATGTCTCTATAGAAGGATGTATAGTCCTTTGAGCATATGACAAAGAGTTGTATGCTGAAGATTTGAATTATGGCAACTAGACACAAGCTAAAATCATCTGAGAAGAGGTAAATTCAGTTAAAATGATATCTCCATAATATTGGATGCAGGCATTTCTATGGAGCATTTTCTAAACTAGTGATCAATAGGGGAAGGCTCAACCAATTATGGATTGTGCCATCCTTTGGCTTGTGGTCCTGGGGTCTATAAGAAAGCAGGCTGAGCAAACCATGAAAAATAAGCCAATAAGCAGCACTCCTCCATGGACTCTTCAACAGCTTCATTTAACAGGTTCTGTCTCTGTATTCCTATCCTGACTTCTGTCATAAACGGACATGGAATTTTATGAAAAATAAACTCTTTCCTCCCTGTCTTGCTAGTTGGTCATGGTGTTTCATTGCAGCATTATAAACCATACCTAAGACAAATCAGATATCTGGATCTTGAAATAGATCTATACCAAGCTTCCCAAGGAACTACTGCACTGATTTTCATGGTGCTGTACAAGTTTGCATTCCCACAAGGAATGGATGAGTTTTCACATTAGTGTGTATTTTTACAGCAGGAACTATCATTTTTATTGACATTGGCCATTCTGAATATAATTGGATAAAATTTCAAAGTACATTTGATTTACAGTATCCTGATGAGTAAAGATCTTTTCCCATTCTTTAGCCTGCCACTCTGTCCCAATGATGTAATTCTTTGTCATACAAAAGCTTTTCAGTTTCATGATGTCTCATTTACTTATTGTTGCTATCATTGTTCTATTCAGAAAAATTTTTGCCATAACCATGAGTTCTAGATTATTCCCCAATTTTCACTTTTAAGAGATTTATCATATCTGGTCTTATGTTGAGGTCTTTCATCCTCTTGTAATTGAGTTTTGCACAGGGTGATAGGTATGGATCTATTGTGTTCCTCTCCATGCAGCCATCCAGTTTAGCCAGCACCATTTGTTGAATATATTTTATCATGTCCACTGTGTAATTATGGTTTAATTATCAAAAAGTGGCTTCCATAGGTGTGTAGTGTTAAATCTGAAATGCCAATTCCATTCTGTTGATCACTATGTCTGTTTTTGTGGCAATATTATGATGTTTTTATTACTACAGCTATGTATTATATTGTCAGGTCAGAGTGACATTCTCAGTTACTCGAATACTTATTTAGTCACAAAGAAATACAAAACTCATAGGTGAGGCAATACCTAAAACACTCATAACAATATATTGAAATGAAATGTTATTGTTAAATAAGATCAAACTGTATAAAAACTATATCAAAACAGTTACATCCAATTAAAATACATTTAGTGGAAGACATAAGCTAAATCAAATATATTACATAGAATGTATCAGAAAAAATATGAACCAATTTGAAGCCAGGGCTAGTTCTGTGATACCAAGCTGATCATATACATATAAAGTGATCAGTACAGAATAAGGGTCCATGTGAACAGAATGAGCTCATTACTCATGGAAGCAGGTATACGTACATCCAATCTTATACAACTCAATATTGCATAACCACAAATAAAAAATGGAAAGAAGAAAGTATGTGAAGAAGATGGAATATAAGAATTATTATGCTATTCGCATTACCTATGAATTCCTCAGTCTATTCATAGGTCTTTACCCAGAAATTTTGACAACCTCATCTTCATACTCATAACATTGTCCAATGCTGCCTCGGTACAAAAGTATAGAATTCTAAATAGCAGATAATACCTATTTGTTTCCACATATATTAACTGTTAGAAGAAGTATAAGATGGATTCATGAGCAGATTCAGTTTTGGACAGTAAATCTTTTATAGTCCTTGAATGTCAGGCATACATTTCACAAAATTTATAAGAAAGAGGGTGAAACCATAGGAAATTACAAAGTAACAAAATCAATCTCATTGTTATGAAATCTACCCCCAAAACACACACACACACACACACACACACACACACACACACACTTTAAGAATCCTAATACTCTAACACAGGTCTCATTTTCTCCTATATCAAAGTAATAGGACTTGTGTAACCATAGCAATGGGTTACAAAAAAAAAAAAAAGAATTCAGTGTTATTCTTATATTGAGTGTTATTTAAAATTATCATGTTTGGAACCTAATCTCTCATGAATAGTGTTCTCTGTTTTCAGGTTGACCCCTAAGAACATCCACTTGATCTTCTCTCTTTACTTTGCCATGGAAGAAATCAATAGGAACCCTCATATTTTACCAAACATTTCTCTGCTAGTTAACATCTCGTGTAACCTGATGGGTGATCAGAAAAGATCTAGATTATATGCAAAAAGAACTGTAAATTTTCCTAACTACTACTGCAAAGATCAGAGAAAATATATAATTGTACTTACAGGACCCATGTGGTTACTATCTTCCTTTCTTGGACCATTGCTGTATATGTCAAAAACACCAGAAGTAAGTTGGGGTAGGTTGCTTTTAATGAAATAGTATCTCCTTCAAGTTGACTATCTGAGTACCAAGAAAGGTTAAAAGGCAGAGACCA